CCCGACCAAAGATAAGTTTACTTCCGAACGGTATTCCACCTAAGGATGATGACCTTCCGAGCTGCTTGGATCGAAACCCGCGGCAACCCTCGAGGACTAACGTTATAGTAAGAACGTTTTTTATATATAGGACCAATCTTTTTTGGCCACTTTTACTAACAGGCGCCTGTGAACCTTAGAGTCTAGTTCGTTACTAGCCTGCAGAGTGTACAACATGGTCGGAAAGCCGAAGCTCACAGTAAGGTCCACCATTCGAACCAAACCATCACCGTTGAGGTTTAACCCAAAGAACCTTTCTTTAAACCGTGGCAGATGATAGCCTAGATCGCGATGACCGCATGGACCATGAAGGATGCCTCGCACGTCCCGCGCTAAAAGTGTGTAAGTTAAAGTGCCGCACAGGACGTGCGAAACAACGAGACATGAGAAAAATCTCGTATCTCTTATACGTGATTTTGAAGACCTTAAGAGTGCCAAAAATCACCTTAAAAAAAAAAAAATAAAAAATAGTGCTCTTCTACCTATGAAAATAATAAAGAAGATAAAGTAAAGTCAAAGTTAATCAGTAACTAACTACAAATCACTTCCTTAATTGTATAATTATGCTGTATTAGACAAACTAAATACAAACTTAAATGTTAAATCTTACACATTATGAACAGCAGTTCAAGGTAATATAATTTAAATGAACCTTGAAAATTAAAAATATGGAAACAATCAAGTAAAACAAAACCAAATTAGTAGCAGGACAACCTTTATAAAAAAAAATTAAAACAATCAATTGGTTATTTACTATCTTTGTCAACTAAGTAAATCTAAAAGTACGATATAATTAAACCTTAGTTAAACTACTAATAGTAGACTAAACCTTATTATACAGGCAATATCCTTCATACACTTTTACATTTTTATTGAATCTTGTAAGTTATAAAAACAATGTCATTATATAGAATAAATAAAACCTAATCAAACTAATAAAAATCAATAAAATTTAATATATTGTAATAAACTTAAATCAAAAAAAAAATGATATTTAATTTAATTAACTAAAGTCAAATAGAATAAAACATATAAACTATAATACAACATAAATAAAATACAATAAAATTAAAGAAAATTTAAATAAAACTGAACAAAATACAAGAAAGTATAATAAAATTAAAAAAAAAAAATTAATAATAATAATAATAAAACTATATTAAGTACAATAATTTAACTTAATTGCTCTAACAATCAACTAAGCAAACAAATAATCTAACTTTAATAAGCACAAAAACTTTAATGGACTAACTTAAAATATGTAAACACAGTTAAATAGCACAAACTTTACATATTATAACTTAGCATAACAAACGTAAACTTATAAAAATAAAAATCAAGAATAATAATTTAAACACCATTAAAGTTTTATAAAAAACTCAGAAAATACTGAGGCAGGTTCTGTCTTACCTGTATTACACTTGTGCTAAGTTTAGGTAACTAAATTGTTACTACAATTTATTGCTAGTTTAAATGACTTTAACTTCTTTATGGTTAATATTACTAGGTAGAAGCACTAAATAAAACATAATATCTAATTTTTGACACTCTTAAGGTGCTCAAAACATCGTATATAAGAGAAGAGAAACCTCTTCTCGAGGCACCTTCGCGTCTGTGCCAACGCTCGTATCTATTTGTATCTTGAGCGCTTGCCTCTCGGGAGCCTCCTTCCTTGCCCGTGCGGCCATCGCGATCTAGGCTATCATTCTGTCATGATTTAAAGTTAGGTCCTTTGGGTTAGACTTCAGCGGTGGTGGTTTGGTTCGAAGTGGTGAACCTTTCTGTTAGCTTAAACTCGTAGCTTTCCGGCATTGATGTACACTTTTCATGTTCGTAAGAACTAGACTCTTAAGGTCCCCAGGTGCATGTCGTACAAGTGGTCAAAAAATATTGACCCTATATATAAAATTCGTTCCTGCTAAGTTGTTAGTCCATGCGGGTTACGGATGGTTTCGATCTACGTCGCTCAATTGGTTATCATCTTAGGTGGGATGACGTTTGGCAGTAGACTAATCTTTGATCGGGTCATGTCATCCTCTACTATTCGACGGTGTTAGCAAACGAATCTACTTGAGGCCCTCTGCTTAGGCGGATAATGCACATTAACCTAAGACCAACATGGCCAGCTTCCGATTTGAGGCTTGGACTCGTTTAAATAACTATTTACCAACCTAGGATCGTGATTATGGTACCTCCCTGATTGAAGCTCTTAGTTGTGGGCTGAACGTTACTGAGGAGAGCCGCAAGTTGCCATAGCTAGCTAACTGGGGCTTCAGTTATGTTAGAGAAGCACGGCTGGGAACAGTTGCTCTTAAAACTGACAAAAACTCTTAGCAGGTCTAAGCCTTGCAGCAGGTTCTACCTTACCTGTATTCGTGGAAGCAAATTTTAGCTAGCCGAAAGGATACGAGAAGTTTGTAGCGAACGGATGACTTGGGTTGTGTTACGATTCGAGCTAATTAACTTGCATCGTAAGGCTTAATGATGAGTATTAGCATTGCCTTCCGGAGACGCTCATTTGTGAAAATCAATGGAAGAGCTGTTGTAGTTAACTACATACACTATCAAACACTATAAAACATAGTTAACGAATACAGTTAAGTTGCTAGATGAAACGTCTGTTATGTGAGTATCGAAGACGAAAGCAAACAGATTTATAGTCTAGTAATGAGTGATGTTTACTGTACAGCTATTCCTTTGTTTCCGAAGGATGCATGCTTGGTGAACTTTTGGAGCCAAGTCTGTATTATGGCGCTTGTAGCAGACGCTTTTATCTGTGTCGCGGCTCTGGCATGGCTCATTACTTGGGCTTAGACTCGGCTGCCTCGTACAGACTAGTGTAATGGTATGTACTCCTTCCACTCGACATGTACTGAGCTGTGTCCTTGGGGGCTTAGCTAAGGAGTATACCAGATTTATAAATTTTGTTTTTAAACACTTCATTAATGGACTCACTCCCTTTATCTGTTCGAACCCCTTATATTAATGCTGTTTGGGTGTTTTTGTTAAGTATAACGTTTTTTATATAGTTGTTGTAGTACCTAATTCAGTTGAAGAGTATTTCTCGTTTTCGTATTTATTTTTGGTGAAAATATTTTTCTAGTGCTTAGGACGTGCATCTGTTCCGACTATTACCTATTTGTTTCCTTCGTATGACGGTATAACCCCTTCAAGTGTGTTTATGTATATTAGTTGTCTTGGATTTCTATTAAAGTGGGTTTGGTTGTGTCCACTGGTACTTTTTCTCTCGCAATTTGGGAAAATTGTTTGTGTCTTGTAATTAGTATATACTAGATGTTCCGCTGGTATTTTTTGATTTGTTGTATAAAGACAATGACAATTGTAATTCTTCTAAGCGTGGCTATGTTTTTTTTCCTTAGGTGACCAACCATACGGTGATTCCGCCTTTTGTAATACTTGCCTGAATTAACACATTGAATTTTTGAAAACTAATTCAAAAAACAAATACGAGGTGAAAAAAATCAAAACCGTTACGAAAAACCGAATTCACCTCAAAGTCCTGTAACTAAATTATGCTGCAAGCGCGGAATAAAACTTCCTATACTGCGCTTAATAGGCTCTTTCATAAACGCGCACCGATGCTTTAAGAGTAAGCTGGGCTAATCTTGGATCTTCCATATTATAAAAAAAAACTTTGTGTGCAAATAACTTCGCTTATAACATGAATTCTGTGCATTTCACAGCTTATTTCTACAAACGGGCGCAAAAACTATTGTGGATTCGCAAAACTTATAAAATATTTTTAAGACTCCTATATTTTAGAATAATATCAACATTATTTATGTGCGTAGCATCGCTAACCGTTGAGGTGCCTCTTTACAGAAATGTGTACTTCTAAATTAATAGTGTAAGTGGTAAACTTGTATATAAAAAATGATCCCTACAGTATGACTTTTAACTTTCCTAAAGTTAATAACTGCAGTAACCAATTAAAATCCTTATCACAGAAATATTACTTAAATAATTTTTAATTCTGTTACTCTTGTACTGGTAAAAGGCAGAAGTTTATAATGAATTTATTACGCACATCGAATTCTGTAGCATCAATACAGAAAGTATATGTTTAGCATAAACAAAAAAAATCTTATCTATAAAAACTAAAAACAATTAAATAGATAAGAATATATAATGCCTATCTATTAAAAATACCTATTTTATTAATAACTGAATCTGCTTATAATAAAAATTAATATTTTAAAAAATACAGTTGCAACAATGCTGCATAAAGACAGATTTATAAAAATTTAAAAAGTTTAAAGTTCTTTCTCTGCAGCCTAAAATTATAATTTAATAAGAATGAATCAATGAGTTTATTTTATAATAATTACAACTATAGTAAGTTTAACATTAAAGAGGTGATCCCATCAAAATAATATGATATAATAAAAATTAAAAAGACAATAATAAATTTGTTTACTTTTATTAATAAATTATTATATAATTTTTTAATGCCCGCCGAAATAATTATAATAAAAATTAAAATTTAAAATACTTTATAAATAAAAATCTAAAAAAAAGTGCTTTAAGAATAATTAACTATTTATTATACTTTTATTTATTTATTCTTTTATTGCCAAACGCAAAAAAATAATTATGCTTAATATAAATGGATTTTAACAAAGAATAAGATAATGGGAAATTTTTTCTCTAAATATTAATATAAAATCTTAGAAATTATACTCAAAAGGTCGCATTTTGTACTCTAATACATTCAAGAGATTAAAGCACTTTTTTAAAAAATTTATAGTATCAAAAAAATGATTTTGCTAAATTTATAAAGAAAACGAAGGAAAGTCTCAGCTAGCAATCCTTTTCTATATAATTCACACGTAAAAAATATTATAGCAAATTAATAAATTGAAATACTTTATTTAAGGTTAATAAATACTTTAAAAAATCCTTAATTTAAAACTCTAAAAAATTTAATTTTAAAAGTTAATCTAGTTTTTCTCCGAAATAGAAGGTTTAGCAGTTTTGCGAAATTCCTTCACTTTTGTTTTTGGACATTGCATTTCGCACCAGTTAATTGGGATCATCATTTCGCCTAAAAAAAATTAATAACTTTAACAATTCATTCAAAATAATTTATAAAACTAATAAATTTTATTTAGAAGTTTGAAAATTATAAATATATATGTGTGTAAGTAAATTCTCACTTTACGGCAAGTTATAGGCAAAATATCAAAAAAATATTATAAACAAAAAATTTCTAATGTACCATAGATAAAAAAAATTATCTTACAAGTAGATTTACGTATACATATAATATCCGTTAAAAAAACATTTAGAAATTGATGAAAATCATAACGATATTTACTTAAATTTAACTTAAAAATACAAAACTAAAATTTAGTCAACCAAAACTTAATTACTTTAATAAAGAAATAATAAATCAAAGTTAAAAATCGCTAAATAATTATTATAAAGGCTGAGAAAAAGAATAGTAGGCAGTGTTATATTTTAAATAAATCTAAATTTATAATAAATATGTAGACTTTAATAAAATAATTTATTTAGAGGTTAAGAAAGTATAATATAACCTGCCATACTTTTGGCATAAATAACACCAAGTTCATTTTTCGCAGTGCTAAGATAGTAAGAACGAGAATCTCCTAGCGAAATCTATAAGTTTATAAATAGAATAATGTACAATACAGCGGCCCACACTTTCATTAATGTTTATTTTTTACGGTTTTATTGTATAGTAATTTACAAAGCACGTCGACGATAAGCGGTATTCGAGCGGATTATAAGAACAGAGTATTTTCAAACAAATTAAATTTGTAGAAATTTGTGCAAAATTCTTTATTTTTATTTAACAACGAAAAAATGCAGAAAAACAATACCACTTCTGCACGCACTATATCTCCAGGCCGAAAGGAATTGTAGATTTCTACTTTATCAGGTTCAGTTGCACGTACATCTCAGGTATTAAAAAAAGGTGGAGAATATTTTATAAGGTGAAACAAGAAGGAAACTAATTACCTCGCACTCTGATGATGCCGGTGTAGTCGTGCTGCAAAGGTAAGGAATTAACACAGATTATAGCGCATTTACAGAAACGAGGATTTACGCTAATAACTCTGGCATATCTAATAAATTTTCATTAAACTGATTTCTAACTTAAATAGATTTTCTTACACAAAACTTCCCACCTCTGGGATAACAGCTGTATAAGGATTTCGTTGTACCACTGAAACAATTTTTTTCCCCTCCTATATATAATTAAAAAGGCGTAAAAAAAAAAAAAAGTCAAGTTTCATGTATGTAAAATACCTTACTTTCTTTAGAAATATTTTTAATTCCCACTATGCTCGAATATATAAAATTTCCGCGTAAGTAGGTGTTACTTCCACACTTTAATTGAGAGTTAACTGTTACAGTGTTGAATAAAAAAGTAAAAAGCTTCAAATAATATACCTGAAAATTTTTGAGATCTGCAACTTTTTCCCCTGGTATAACAAATTGCTCACAGTCTATTCCTTCGCGAAGCATAGTGAGCTAGAATTTTTAATAAAAAAAAAGTAAAGGTGCAGAGTGAGTGACACAATATAGAGGAACATCGTTAAGCAACCAGTCTTGGCCGTTATTAGTGGTTAATAACCCACAATTATTATTTTATTATTTATAAAATACTCAACACCTACTGTAGCGTAATAACAAATCTTTATATTATAATGAGTTTTCCTTTTTTAAAAGAGTACCAACACGAATATATTAAAAAAATTTTTAAAAATAGTTAATATTCTGTATGAATATATTCTCTAACTCGGAAACAGTTAGAGCCTTCAGTTTATCTGTTAAATAGGCATTTTGCATTAAAACACTAGATCAAAGGAAAACTGTCCCAGTTTTACAAAACAACTGCTTTTGAATAACTTTTAAACAAGGCGCAGCCCCGCTTATTAGACAGTATTTTTTTAAACCAACTTAAATATTTATTATTTGACGTTTAATGAGTTAATCTAGATTTGTTATTATATTTCTCAAAATATATATTTTTCAGTATTTTACTAAATTATAGGGGCATGTTGTTTACGGATCGTAGATTGTTTAAAACAATTATAGTGCAAGTATGCTTACTCTCAAACAAGAGTGTTCTAATTATTAATCAACCCATCTTAAACTACTTACGTGGCTAAGCGTACTTGTGCAAGTAAAAAAATTTATAATATAACTTTCATGGGCAATAATAAGTTCAGGGAAGCTAGTTACTATTTTTTTAAATAATAGTAGCCATAAACCCTCATAAAGGAAGTAAATTGGATGTTTCCTCTACTGTATCCAAATTATATAACACAAAGTACAAAATAGGCTTAAAGTAAAAAAAACTTTTAAGTTTAGAAGCTGTAATACACCAAACTTAATAAGTGTCGTTTATATGCCATTCATCAGCAAAAAAGCAAAAAATCCAATGGAAAATAATGCACCAATAAACGTTTAAGGTCAAAGCTAAACGCTTTTAGTTTTGGGTCACCTGCGTTTATACGGACTTTGGGTGGTTTCTGCGCAGTATGCATTTACAAAAAAGTGAGCAGTGAATTGTGTAATTGAAGTGCACGTTTTAGTCGTAGGTTAACGTTTTTAACTATTATAAAGAAATTTATTTGTAAAAAATCACAATTACATTAACTAAAACAAGTTAATTATCGAATTTATTTAATTAAAATCAATTTTTGGCTTATTCCTTTTTTTATTGCCTACTTCAAGTTTATTTAAGTATCTGCGATCAAAACTAGAAGAAATTTAAGTGAAGAAAAGAGTTATTCTAATTAAAAAGCTATATTTAATCTAAATAATAATTGTGAAAAAAACTAATTATTGGTGCTGCTTGGTAGTTCACAATAAGTTTTTAGTAAATGAGTGAAATATTATCTGAAGACGATGAAGAACATGTTTGTCCCCTTTGCGTTGAGCCATTTCCTGTAGTTGAGTCGTCATTCTATCCTTGCTCTTGTGGATACCAGGTCTTTTAATTTTCAAAGTTTTAAGTTTATAACCTTGTAAGATAAATTTTATTATCTTGTATGACTTATGATGTGATGTTAGTGTATTTAACTTTAAAGTTATACCTTGAACTTCTTTATAGGGATATTATTTATTAATTTTAATGTAGTTTTTAAAAAATAATAATAACTATCTTATTATTTGTTTACTAGGTTTGCGTGTGGTGCTGGAGTAAAATTAAAGATGAAGGGAATAATTTATGTCCTGCTTGCAGGACACCGTATCAAGAGAAACCAGCCGAATATAAACCTCTATCCAGTGAAGAGTAATTTTTTATATATTTTTTATATTTTATTGATAAACTTCTATATATTTGCTTATTTTTGTAGCCTACAAAAAATCGAGCAAACCAAGAAACAGAAAATATTAAAAAAAAAACAGGATGACGCTAGAAATCGAAGAGCACTTAGAGAAGCTCGTGTTATACAGAAAAACTTGGGTATTAAAAATTAGTAGTTACGTTTGTTTATTTCTGTTTTTTGCTATTTTGCTATTTTTTTAACTCATTAGTATATTGTATACATTTTTTTAACGCCTTATTTCATTAGGCGTGAGGCTAATTCTTAAACACATAGCTTTTAATTATTATTTATATTAAATGTATTTTTTAGTGAGATATATACTATAATTTTTATTATTATTTGTATATAAAGTAACTTAATATTATATATATATGTATAGTTTATGTTGTTGGTATCGCGCCAAGTATAGCCAGTGAAGATGAGTTAAAAAAACCTGAGCGTTTTGGGCAGTTTGGAACTATTGTTAAAATAGTCGTCAATCAAAATAATAATTATATAAACACTACTTACGTAAGAAGTCTCAATATTAAATTTTATAGTGAAATTAATTTTGGAATTTTTTTTTATAGGGACCGTCTGCTACTGCCTATGTTACTTACAGCCGCCCGGAAGAAGCGTCGCGTGCAATTGAAGAAGTCGACGGCGCCATTTGGGAAAATCGACCTTTAAAAGCTTATTGGGGTCTGTTTAGCTACACTTATACACTTTATTCTACCTTGAAGCTTTTTTAAGTATTTCTAATATTTTTTGTTATATACTTGCTGACTTCTTTACAATATTGCTGTAAATAGGTACCACCAAGTATTGCACTTATTTTTTACGGCACGTGCGCTGTCCCAACCCGGAGTGCATGTATTTACACGAATTTGGTGAGGAGGCCGTCCGGCCTTCCCCTCGCCAGGGAAGTTCGTCTTCGTTTGCCCCTACTGGAGGCCGCGTGTCTCGGGCATACGGACGTGACATCCGTCAACCTTATCCTTATGAAAATGGCATGAAGTTTATGGAAAACTCGGATTGGGAAGACCCAGAAAGTGGCCCGCCTTCATTATTCCTTAGTGGGAAGGTCCAGCACTTAGCTTTTTCCCGTAATCATAAGAGTGCTGGTCTTAAAAGGAACTTGCCTTCTTACTCTTCGGGGTTGAAGCAGGCGCCTGGCTATGGTGGTGGTACAAATCCTGCTAAAAGTGAAAGTGGTGTGCAACTTGGGCCTAGTCCTAGCACCGATAAGCACGTGAATCTCTCCTCACGGCAAGCCCCTCAAAAACATTATAGTAACGAAACTCGTCTTAAAGTGTGTGGTTTAACTGATCCTTGGGGAGGCGTGGCGGCCGAGAGGCAGAAATCGGCAGAATCTTATCTTCGCAGTGGAAATATAAAAAACAACTCATGTATAAATAGCACGAAGCTTCATTTTCCTTATAACCGCGCTTCTTCGTCAACATCAACATTTACAGCACCTTTGCTTCCGCACATAAACAAGAGCAAATCTTTATTACTTTCCGCCATACCCGCTAGCAAGCCCAAATACAACCATACCCCTTCCACCACCGTATCATCTGTAAACTTTAGAAAGGAAAATGCCGCCAGCGCACCGCCCCTTACTGCTTCCGTTGGGTCGCCTCGCAAACCAGCGTGGGGTCTCTCTTTTCAGTCTCCTGTGGTAAAGGGCACAGATTCTAACACCCGCGTTCTTCTTGCCCCGAAAACTACTAGAAAATTTAGAAAAGTAGTTGCCATGTCGCCAACATCCACGTTTATACCGCCTTTAGCATCGGAAAAGGCGCAGTTGGTAAAGATAATGACCAACGAGGTTGTTTCCACACTGCCGTCACGGCAATTATCAGAGAATATCAGCGCACAAATGGGAGCCGGTGAAGTATCGATTGTTAAAAATAACTGCTCTCGAGCCCCATGTATGCTGGGGGGTGAAACTATTAATGAATCTGGCGTAGTTTCGAATGACCTTACTCCTGTGTCCCACAATAAAACTTCGGAGAATGCTCATGTCGTTTGTAAGGGAAGCAACACAAGTAACAGCAATGGTCAGCCAGAGACCTTAAAGGTTACTAACGATAACTGTAGCACAAAACACAACTACAGCGTCGGAAAAACTATAGACCCTTCTTTTAATGAAAATAATAGTAATGACTTTAGCAACTGTGATATTAACTTTGAACTGGATGCTTTTCAAGCCCCGCAGGAAATAAATGATTTATTGTCGGATGGTTTGGATGTCGGCTTGCTAATTCAGCAGCAGCTTGACCAGCATAGGCATCGCCAGCATCGCTCGGAGTATCCTCCCCCCGAGAACCAAGCTGGCGGTTGGCCCGTTATGGATAATAACGCGCAGGCATTACAGTACCCTTTTAATTTACCCCCCTTTTCCGGCAATCCCTCGGCCCTTTCTTTCAATCACTCCTGTTGTTTCAGGGCGCCCAAAGAAGGCGTTAGGTCGGGCGGGTCATATAGAAAGAGTGATGTCAATTTTCCTGCTTTGATTAACGACGATGATCTCTCTGTCGCTTGTTGTGGTTAACCTTTTTAAAATATTTATTTTTATACAATAAATTATTTTATTGTCGTCTAGAAAGAAATGTTACCAAGTCGGACACTTCTTTTACAGTTCGTCCACCACCGGGCTTGAATGTAGATACACACCTGGAAACTCGGCGTCCTCCTGGCCTTTCATACTATAAAACTCCATCAGGTTATCTTTTATCTTGATTTCTTATTACATCTTTTAATGCCGACGACGTATATTATACTTAGATAGCTTTTTACCTTTCGAAGAGAAAAAAGCAAACTATTGGGATGGAAAATGCGAGAGTTTAGTTGCCTCCACCGAAAAGCTGTCTTTAACTGATAGGGCGTCTGGCTTCAAATTCACCGGCGAAACTACAAACTTAGTTAATGGAGAAAATTTTTCGGGAGAGGAAAACAGAAATAATAGTATTTTTACAGATACTAATTCGCAACGTACCATATATGACAGGGATACTAATGTCTATATAAAGAATAGCAATCATGGTAATAAAACTCTTAATAGTAACGTAAGCAATAATAATACAAACGGTAAGCAAGAATTACGTCAATATATAAACAAAGATATAAATTCTGACTCGTTGCTTTTTACAAATACAAAATCTCTGCAGGACAACCTCCGTGCTCTTTTTCCTGGTGCCTGTTATTAATCGTTACTTTGTGTTTAAGTTTATAACACATACTTTTTTTTATAGGAATTGATATAAGTTTCCCAAGAATGAAAGGTAGCAGGAATACGCACCCTTTATACCAACGCGTTGGTCTACCTGAGAGAGATTTATATAATACCAAGCCTAAGCGTGGTGATTGTCCATCTTCTACTGAGTCTTTCCCCCTTATAACTAATTATTTACCGCCACGATACTCTCAACATCAAAATTATGAACATAATCAAATGCAATATTCGTATGCCCCTCTAAGTTCACGTGACCGGCAGCGTCCACTGTTAAACAGCGGCCCTTCGATTCAACCGCAATGTACAACGTCATCGACTTTAGACCCTTATTATTACAATGGTTTAACTTACATTAATTTATTAAATCATAAGAATTCCGTGAATGTTTCATATAATGTCCCCCAAAACTCGGAGCACTCAATAGATCCTTTACGCCGACAAACAGATTATTACAAATTTAATCACAATTTCTCTCAAACATATCCTACAGATTCTTTTTTAGAAAATTATCATCCTTTAAATTTTCCTGATTTATCCACAGATTCTACTACAACTGGCAGTGATCGCGCTCATTATAATTTGAGCAGTAATTCATTATAATTGTTTTTTTTGTAAAAAACTAAGTTATATTAATTTTTAAATGTGAGGCCAATTATAATAAATACAAAAGTACATTCTAGTCTTTGATTTTTGTTAAAAAAGAGTTAAGTGTTTAATTGTGTACTCTTTATTGAAGTGATACGGAAAACGTAGCGTTTGCTAAGAGTTTTATATTGTATACACAATTTTTATCCTTTTGACTGACAAAATTTTGTTTTACAAACGACATAGTGACAAATTTGTAAAATTAATTACTGTACACGAGAAGATTGCTCTGCTACCAAAATGTTTTGCTTGGTTATTTAAGTTACTCCAGACCCGTCCAAGGCTGCAGATTATATATAGTCAGTTTTTTAGACTATAAATAAAGACCTAGGCTTATAATGTTTTATGGCTATTTTGGCTTACTACCGTAAAAAATGTATTCTAGTTCAAATATATTATTTGCGGGCATCAAGGTATAGTTATTATACAATGCATACCACCCATATAGCTAAAATATGTTAGTCAGTAATTGTAAGAGTTACTTATAGCAGCGTAGTTATATGGTAATTATCGCTTGACTAGGAGTACAATTTATGAAGAAGTGCTATAAGCAGTAATAACAAAAATTTATTCCTCATAAATATTATAATTAACTTGTAGTTAATTATATCCTAACAAGTTGTAACATTGAGGCATACTAGTTTAACACCGTATAGGTTTTAACAGACTTGGCACATCTGATATGCCTACCGAGTAACTTCGTAGCCCTCAGCAAGTTAAGTCTAGACATTCTCCGCCACACGATAGCTACTTCTCTCGCAACAAAAAAAGAAGGTCGAAGTGTCTGTACTTACCTTTTTCTTAGTTGTTGATTAAAACTCTCACTCGCGTAGTGTGCGATTGTAGCGCCTAAAAAAATGGTAGCGAAGATTAACAATTATTATTCATTAACAGATAATCTTTTTTAGCACTAGCATATTACGGCCGGTCCCCTTTCGGACCTTAAGCCGCTTAATCTGAGGTCCCCTCTTCTGCAGGGGGTTAAGGCACGAGTGCTCACTAGTGTACACTCTTTACAGAGTTAAAATGACTGTCTCGAAGGGCTGAAAAAAGCGGAAAATATCGGGTCCGGACTCCCGGCATTCGGCTTATTGTGGTGGAAAACCGCTAAAAACCACACTCGGGAGAGGTAGCCTTAGGCTCAAAACCCGATGCCACCTGGAGACTGACCTGCACACTGCTAGGCAAGCCACCCCGATTATGAACTCCTCACCCGAAAGGGAGGAAGCCCCTTATCAAAAGATTTACGGCGTTGCCCGCCAGACGTACAAAAAAAAACATGCTGAGCCAGCTACCACACTATACCCGACTCTCCCGCATGCTTCGGCGCACACAAGTAAAACTTTGCCGATGCTATTTATATCCTCAAACAAGGCCACATGCTACGAAATTTTGGGCATTCGAGAATTTCTTATATGTAGAAAAGTCTTTTTTTAGAAGTCTCGTTTTTTATGAATTAAAACTGTTATAACCGATTTTAGAACATAGTTCACTCAGAAATCATTTTTTAGCAGTAAGCTATATAGTGTGCTCTGTAACTTATTGCTTGAAGCGTGTGTAAGTTTTAAAATCTATTGGGCACTGCTTAAGAGATAACTGAGCCCTGTTTTTCCATGGAATTTTGGCTCCATTTCATTAATACTCTCTATAATACCGGTTTAACAAAAAGGTCTCTAAGCGTGTGCATCTTTATCATCTAGACATCTACAGATAAAGATTAGTTAAAGATCTCCTTGGTTTTCGTAAGAGTCCAATTTAATAGTAAAAACTGTCAAGCTATAAATACGTACTCGCTGTTAACTGTATAATATGTTGTTGAAGCTTGTTAGGTTCGTAAAACGGAAACTTTCGAAGAAAGCATATATTTCGTGTTAACATAATAAAATTATGAACTATTTTAAAAGTTTTAATCCAAGATACGGTACGGCGCTTTTCACAATCTTACATTGTTAGCTTGAGCCCGCAAAAATTTATTTATAGTTCTACACTATAACAAAAAGGTAGGGCGTGCAGCGCCAGCGAGCTACAGCTTACATTTTACTCGCATGTGCACCTTAAGAATAATCAAGCCGGATTGGGAATTTTAGTGAAAGAGTGGAAATGGCTATGCGGCTCAATCACGCTATTTTTAGCGATATATTAAAAGCAAATAAAAAATATCTAATAATACATTCTACCTTTGAGCTCTAAAAGGGGTTAATAGCTAGAGCAGGATTAAAAGTTAAAGGGTTGAGACACGCTGGGTGGATAATTTTAAAGACCATAACTTAAGGTTCAAAAAGAGAATAATACCTATGGGTTCTAATCATAACTCTAGAAGAGGGAGCTTCACGTGTACGAATAAGTTCTTAGAGGAGTTACCCTAACTCGACTCTCCTACCATCAAATGAGCTACCTCCGTTATAACAGAGAGGAGTGTCGCGCTCCCGTACCCTTATAAAGATAAAGAGAATTCAGCTGTGGGGCGTCTATTATAAAGGAGTTACTCATAGTCTCGACAAAACCCTTACTTTAATTTCTATTTCTCTAATTTTAGCTTTTGGGCAGCATTTATACTTAGAGAACCTATGAACTTGAATATAAATTGCTTTTGAAAAAAAAAAAGATATAAGTAAAATGCCCATTTAAGGATTATTTTATCTTCGGATTTTGCTAACCGATAAGCTTTCAGATCTCGGTCGATGAACATCCTTGTTTTTGTAATTATTGATATAAATTTTTGTTATTTTTTATTTATAATTAAAAATTCTCGATTAATGATTTCGCTTACCGTTTCTTATCTAATGTTAACAATTTCTGATGAGCTTTGTATTTTCTGGCTATTTAATGTTTTTTTTGACAGTTTTCCTAAAACTTATTTTCATGTTAGGTGGGAATTAAGATAAATAAAACGTACTAAATTAGTGAATTTTCAATAGAACGCTAGTCACTAGTGGCCTACATAAACTCTACAACACCTGAAAATTAATGTTACTGATGCAATATGCATTGGCCTTGGTAAAAAAATAACCAACCAAGGAGTCCTATAATTTTAGCTCCCTATAGGAGTGAATTAATGTAAATAAAAGCACTATGGTTTATTAGTAGAAACTTACTAGCTTGACTTAAAATGATCATAAGGACCTAATTAACCCTAATTTTGGTATATAAGTGTAGACTTCAAAAAAAAAGGGGAGGGTTTAAAATTGATTTTCGTTGTTGATACTTTTTGCTTTTAGTCTTTGCTTTATATAATAAGTAAACTAATAAGCTGTAAAATTGTTATATCCCATAATAGTAGGTAGCACAGTTTTAAGTTTCACAATTAATAATTAAAGATTTATTAACTCTTTATTTTAACTGTACCGTTTTTTATTTTTATTTGTTATATATATAGATGTTGCGGTTGTGGTTTAAAGCCTCTGTGACCAGTAATAAGTGGAAACTTTTCATATAATAATCACAAATATGGTTAGAGACCTCTTAAAGAATAAAGGTTTTTTGTTATACACCGCTCTAACAGGTTCCTGCAGCCCCATTTCTAAAAGGATAATGTTGGTATATTCGACAACAGGATCTCTCAGACGACTAACTGATGCAACATCCGGAAGATTGGTGAGCGTGAGGACCAGTTCATAACTAAAACCTCGTCATAACTATGATATTTATCATCCGCATTTAAGGTAAAAATGTACAATTTCCTCTTTAGGTTATAATATAGAACTTTGTAAAAATTGAAATAACCTCCATACTAACTACTGGAAGTACAAGTTTAGCGGTAAACTTTTATTGTTAAAAGGGATTATAACCCTATTTTCTGCATTTTTCCAGTTATACCTATACAGTACAAAATAAAATTATGGCTGAAAGTTGGGCTTGTTGTATATGTCTTCCTTGTAAAGACACTAAATACTCCAGAGTTTTTCCGGGTTGCCTTAATAGGCATGGTATATTCTTTAAACATTGTCGATTGTTCGTATATCTCGGTGTGATATCTGATGGCTATTGTAAACAGCAAAACGATTATGGACCTAAAAGAAAGGAGTCTGTATTTTCCGTTTAGATTCGTAGTTCTGGGTATGCCATAGATAATGTTTTATAGTGTAAATAGCCTCTAGAAGTTTGTTAGAAAGGCTATTTATTAAACTTGTTCTTATTAACATGCGATAGGTGACTCACGTCCTATAACACAATAAAACGAAACCAAAAAACACAAAATAGAAAAATAAAAATAAACATAGATAACAGAAACATATTGTATAAGACTTTAAGTATAAAGTACACATCCATAAAGCACAATAAACACAAAAATACAAACACAAAACACTAACCCTCTAAATATTCACAGGAAAAATGATCCGTAATTAATGAGATCGAATTCCGAGAAACAACCATTAGAATTACAAGAAAAGAGAAATTAATATTTCAAAAAAGAATTAATTTTGACCTACCTTATTAATTGGATACAAACTAAACTAAGTAATCATTTATCGGGTTCCGTTAAATATATCGTACATATATGGAAGCATATTTTGACCTTTTGTAAAAGTATAAATACAGATCGAAACTGGTCGTATCCTTGACTTAATAAATGTCTTCACACGTTTCTTATACAAATTTGATAGATTACTAGGGTTGTTTTTTTTTTCAAGTTTTATTTTGTACCTGTTTATAAAAATATATAAATATTAAACAATACTCCAGCTATTAACATTATGGACAACTAGTATTATTTTTAAGTAATATGTTTTCTAACTTAATGAATTACTAAAGTGATGGATAGTTTGCTTTAGAATGTTGAGGAAAAGATCCCAGTTCATAAGTTTTAACGCAAATTACCATTTTTAGGTAATTTTATGATCATTACTATTTCGTTGCTTAGTTGTTAGTATATAATGAAGGTTCACGAAAAATAAACTGGCAGCCATGTTAATTTTTTTAGTGCTTTTTTTGTTTTAGTCACATATGTACACCTC